TCTCTCTCTCTCTCTCTCTCTCTCTCTCTCTTTCTCTCTCTCTCTCTTTCTCTCTATCTCTCTTAAAACTTATTAAATTAGACCAGAGCTAGAACTCTCTTTTGTCTACTCTGATCTATATTAAGTTCTATCAACAGCCAACAGGAGCTTTGATTATTATTGCATTTATTAACGCTGTGCCTTTATATTCGCTGTCATTCGGATTTTAATAATGTCAGACAGTGCACAATATACACAGAGCAGCTCAAAAACTGAAAGGCGCTGCTAAAACAAAAGAAGTTTCGAAATATTTATTCCTGTAGCATAACAGTGGAATATAATTAAGCCATAGTTGGCCCATGTACTTGGCTGCATCGTACACAAACTCACCTGGCCCACTGGCAAGGTTAACAATTGGTTAGCAGCATTGGGTCAACTCTGTGGGCCCTGCGGCACACACGTTCGCTAGGCGGCGAAAGAGTCAAACGTTGCCCGCCGACAGTGGGTCATAAAACGCTTGAATGCACAGTGAGTACGTGTTTGAATGAATGCGACCGAGAACTGGAGCACTAGGCCAAAAGTGAATGCGTGAACAGTTGACTGAGTAAATAGCTGCACAAAAGAGTCAACGGGCATGCAGCGGGCAAAGCGGGCAAAGGGCGCTGCCATTTAAAGAGTGCCTCCACAAAGTGTCCTTGGTTTATCAATATTGAGATAAGTGCAATTAAATAGCTGGCGCACTCTATTGTCGCTAGACAGTTAAAAATGAGGAAGCGTACATAAATTATTTGCTCAGCCTGATGCAGACATTCGCAGACAGAGGCCATTTGCAATTGAATGACAATTTGAAGCACTTTCTTCTCCTGGAGCTACCTAAACATTTAATGTAGCTAAGCTGAGTGTAAGCAAATGGCTCAGGCAAGGTCGTAAACCGCCAAAAGTTTCACTCGGCAACGCTGTCGAGCAAAAACAAAAACAAAAAAAGGAGAAAGAAACATAATAAATAACTCATACGCAGCGTTTGCCACAGGCACTTGAACAAAATACGCAAGGCTAATCTAGCCAAGTGGAGCACATAACGTTTATAAACATAAGCCAAGTTTTAGCAGAAAAGTCATCACATTTTCCACGTCTCAGCTGACATTTTCATTTGCTGGCTGACTGTGCGTCTCTCTACTTTTTGGCCAAGTGTCAAAGGATTCCAATTTTCGCCTAAACTCCGCCAAATGCTGACACAGCGGCAGCACATGCATATTTTCACACATTGTCAGTGTCAGGACTATGAAATGTGATTCAGAAATGGCAGGCCGAAATGCAATGAAGACTCTTGTGTTGCAGAGATTAAGATTTAAGATTTAAGATTTGTATACTGATTCCTATCTATATATAAATTGCTGAGTTAAATACTTTAATTTTTGTAAATTGTTTTGATGGTTTCATTTTCAATATTTTATACTGATTATTTATTTAAGCAAACTGGAATTCATTTCAATTGAAGTTACTTACTTTTTTATTTGTTTAATATTCTGCGTGAATTCACTTATGCTCACCAGTTGGCAATTAATTTATAAAGAATATGCTGCCATAAATTAAAACCGTCAACAGTGCTCAACCAAATGGCAATCAATAAATTAACAACATGCAGTTGAAACAAGTGATGCACATAAAGATTGTATTTGTATGTATTTAAATATATAAATAAATGTTTTTCTACTTTTTTTAATATTCAACCAATTAATTTATATACTGTATTGTTACTTAATTTACTTCATTTATTTTATTTTATTTATTTTTGATATGTTTTTATTATATATTTAATTTACATTATTATTTATTTTTTATATTTTTTATTTACCTTACCTATTTAACCTAATTATATATTTATTTTTTTCATATATATATTTCTTATTTCAGTTATTTAATTATATTTTTGTGAATATCGTCAATCGTATCTAAAGCTATAAACTTTTCCCTTTGGAAACACTTGCCATATTTTGTCGGACTGCAGAAACTTCAAAACAATGGAAAAATATAGTAAATAAAATTATAGCTAATATTTACTCTGGCGGGTCAATTCGTGATGTTGATATACCCAACTAAACAAACAACTAAGTAGTCGAAACTTCAGTCACCCTTTGACCCTCAACGGCATTCATTTAAATGCAAATTTAAAGTAAAGTATGTTCGAGGTTCAACATTTGGTTTGCTTTCAACGAGAAAGTTTGATACCCGCATTATGCACAAACAGAAATGGATAAAAATGGAATAGATTCAACTTTTGAGATGCTTGAACTGTAAATATATTTTATTTCATTTTATATATAATCTGAATAAAATTATAGGTATACATACATATACAAAATTATTTTTAGTACCAGCATTTAGAGCTTGAAAAAAATATTAAATTGTATTTACTATTAGCCATAAGCTAAGTTTAGGCAAAGCCGATGATCGCGTGGATCGCTCCAATCCCCACTTTTCATGACCTCGATGGGCTGCTTGGTTGCAGCTTTTAGAATAGAACTGGATAATTTAAGTGTGGCCGGATACAGCTGGCCAAGTTTACTGGCTGACCCAAGCTCCAAATTTGCCTTGGACATGCTTAGGTATGAGCTGCATAGGAATATGTATGTGTTAGCTGGAAATATTATGTGATCAAACATTTTCTTCACCAATTTCGAGTGGAATAAACCCGTGGCTTCTTGACGGTGAGCACATTAAGACCCCCTTTGATGCACGTTTCGCCTATGTGTTGCAATGATCTGTCCCAATTATAATCGTCGTATGTGCAAAAGTCTTGAGCACAACTGAGGATTTCCGACCAGGTGCTTGCATTGAAGGCGACTGCTACAGCGTGCTCTTCACTGGACCAAGCTGCATATTGAACCTAAAGAAAAGCCAGACATGACATTGTCAACCTCTTACAAATTCTCAACTCACCTTGGAGTACGCGTTGTCATCTCGTTTTGAATTGACCTTGAGAGAACTTAAATTGCCACCCAGACTAAAGATATTGCAATGCGCGCATAACTTATTGGCCGATTTCTGCATTTTGTAGAGCACAAACAAAAAATCTTCGGCCACTATATCATCTTCCTCCAGGAATAAAAATAGACCTAATTGCATACAAGAAGAAGAAGTTCTTAATTATCAGAGACTTAAAGAAGATTCTCTAAGTCTATTGCGAACCAGTAAAATTCTTGGTTACTTCAAGCTTATGGAAAACGTAGTTCGCCTTCCACCACCAATGATGTTTTCTCTCCGTATATCGGGCATCTCTATAGTTACCATGCAGATCTGGACTGAGAGCATTATTACAATTCTTGATTAAGGCCCTGAGTGAAATAAGGAAATTGAAAATGGAAAATCGGCGCTTTGAAGAAAATGGAATCGAACTTACTTCAATTTCGAAATGCTTCGAGGACAGTCATTCGGATCGGTGCCAGGAAATCCATACGGATTCAGCTGTATGGAATGTGGATAGAAGATTTGCATCACCTTAGAGAACTCAATTTCTAGCACAGAATCATAGACTTGCTCATTAAAAACATCATAAGAGAATATAAGCAATGCATCGGAAATGCCTTTGGCATGAGAGAGGCTCTCTATCAAGCGCGGAAGATAAATAGTTCCCTTGTGCACCTGTTGAAAAAGTGTAATGTGTGTGCTCAAGTCGCATTTAGTATATGAGCTGTACCTGTATAACAATAACAGCCGAGCTATTTTCCAGAGGACTAAACTTTCTCTCATTAGATATCAACTGTGCAGCGTTGACATCCCTCATAAGAGGGTATATTATATCTGAAATTGTAGAACCACGATCAGCGAGATATTAATGAAAATAGAAAATTACGTTCGCCACTTACTTAAATATTTAGTTATATTACGCTCTGAATCGTCTCCCAACTCATTGTCCTCACCGTCCACTAAACAAGTCGACGTCAATTGATTTACACTGCATAGATAACATTTGAATACTTACTTAAGTAAAAGCTGCAGCACTGCAGCACTACATAGCCTAGGAGCAGTAGCGAGATAAGACGGCAATACAATTGACTCGGCTTCCTAGTCATGATTCAGTTGTTGACCAATTTACAAATATTTCAAACTCATTTATAGTTTAGTTACCATTAAACTGTTTGCAAAGCCAACTAAATATTTTTGTGTAGCTCATTTCCGGCTACTAGCTCATTTTCGTAGCAAAACAAATTGTTATCCCCAATATGGCCACTCAAGTAGTCAAGTGAGCTGCCCTTGGGTAAATATTGAGTGCACATCAAAGCAGCCATCGAGAGGCAAAGTCAAGTGAAATTACTTTTCTGCCCTGGAGCAGCAACTGACGATGGCCAGGCCAAGGCAGTATTTAGACAGGTGAATGCTGTCCAGGTTCATCTATTGACTTAACAAACGAAAATAAATGTGGCCACAACATTGGCATTCAGTTGGAATTCGGATGATGTACAGATTGAAATGAGATTCCAATAGAATTTTATTCGTTATTCTAATTCAGTTTCATTGTTTACTGGCTGCGTAGACTTCATTAAATGCTTGAAGTTTATGGCTGCAGCTGAAGAAGCCTAAGACATGACATAACTATTAAAGCATAAATGAAAATTTTTCTCTAATATACAAATATTAAAGGTAAGAAATACCTTGAAATTATTTTTTAAATATTTATAAAAAATGCATATGTCTCTGATAAGTCTAGCTATAATCATATGACTATTCTGGTCTCACATGTAGCCTGAGCTCTGATGAGCACAGCAGTAACAAATATAATTTCCATATCATATCTTCAGCACTTGCGAAACTCTGATTGCTCATCTTTATTTCTTATACAAATTTCTTATGCACTGACATTATTTATTTTAATCTATAAAATCTAAGCCATCAATACTTGGCAGCTGACTTTACCACCATCCTTCCGCTTCAGTGTCAATTTGTAAATTGCTTGGCATTTTGGCACTTGGTGGATTTTAAGCACAAGATTGATGATGCCGATGATGACGATGGCTGAAACCAAGAGCCAAGCTTCTTGTGGTATAAATTGCCGCATTTTTATGATTTGGCCAGAACATAATAGAAATTTGATGCCCTGACAACGGTATTAAAATTCCAGGCGTTTTTTATTTCTGCTCGATTATGCATAAAAAAAAGATGACCTAATGCAATTTTCAATCTTGGTTCTATACACGAAATAAAAAGTAATAAAAATAAGATTTGATTCTAAGTACGACGTGTTATCTGAAACAGATTTAAAGCAAAACTGAGATGGGATGCTCTAATTTTGGAATCCAGACAGTCAACTTATGTTTATTTAAACACCGCCAAATCATATTTGATTGTACTCTATGTATTCAACTATTTAGTAATACAATCATTGATAAACCAAAATAAAACAAAATAATACAAATTGAAGTCTAGAATACGCATTCGTTGAATCGCCTCAGGCAGAGGTAAGTGCAGCATTCCTCGGCAAAATGACAATTCATCCCAACTCCTTTGCAGCTTTTCTGCGCCTTCCACAGAGAAATCTGTATGGAAATTAAGAATTCAAATAATAAATGAATCTGATTGGTCAGATGAGAATCATGGTCAGCTCGTACCTCTTCTTGGTTCTTAGATGGACTCATTACTAAATCACCGAGCGCTCGTTGTCTGGACGTCACAAGCTGTGGCGTTACCATGGCTTCAAGTCTTGCAAAAGTTTTTTCTCTTGCCGTATTTTTGGCCGGGTAGACCCATGGAGCCAGCACGACTAACAATAGACCAATGAACAGCCGCATTTTAATTTGTTGACTGACTTCATTGCATTCAATCTGAGTCTTTTATACCCGATAGTGAGGCAGCTTTATGCTGCATGTGCCAGCACATCTGCTGGAATAATTCAGAAAATTTGTGTTAACTTGATAATGCAGCCACAGCTCTCAGAACGTACATCGAGCTATTCGCTATAATGTGTAAATTAAGAACGGCAAGCAATAGCAAGAATTCATATATGGAATTGCACATTTATATTTCTGTGAAGTAAATACCTTTGTGTTCATTTATTTCAATTTTAATATTATTTCTGCTGCATTTTGTGTAGTATTTGGTGAAATTGTAGCATTTGGTGAAATATTTAAATGGGATTAATTCAAGTATGTAAGAATTTAAAGAGCGATATATACATATATGTATCTCCTTCTATGATAAATGATGAATATATTAAAAAAATAACTTAAAGTCTCCATTATAAATTATTTATGGCAATTTAATTAGCAATTTATATTACCTTTGGGACAATTAAAGTCAAATATTATCCAATTTAATTATTAAAATCGATGGGTCAACGATATTGGCAGACTTCATCTGTGTACTGCTTCTCCATCCCCTGTCATTGGCGCTTACTGTTTACATATTTGGTCGCGCTTTGTTGTGATTGGCTGAGAGATTGCATACAGTTTTTGTACAAATATTATCCGAGTGAGTTTGCGTATTAGCTACACGCTGCTCATCTCTGGCTTGTGTTCGCTAATTCTCACAAGAGCGAGAGAGACAAAGATAGCTGATGCAAAAAGTGGTTTCTGGCGTTAGTGAGTAAAAACGAGATGGCTACGCGCGCCCTTCGGGCAGAGTCGTTGCAACTCGAGTGAAAGGGAAAGCGACTAGATATAGGCAGATGTAAATAACGCACACACTCAAAGCCAGCAGAGAAAGAAACTGATCTTGGGCACAGCTATGAAACCGATATGAAACTTTTAATGACATTGAAGAATGTAAGAATGTATTGCAGAACTGCTATTTTCTAAATAATTTCAATTTTAAACTACTTTTAAGAAAAATAAAAGCATTATATTCCACTATTCCATTCCATTGTATAAACAACTTTACTTCAATGCAGCTAATATGTAAGCATCTTTTTAAATAGCGAAATATATTTATTTAGAATAACAGTAGACACGAAATATTTGTTTCTCACAAATAGAAACTTAAAGCAGCGATACCTAAATCAACAATCGCAAAATGGAAAGGAGGGATGGAAAATATGTTGGCTCAACTGCAATTGATTTTAGATCCCCCACCCCAAATACAAACAACGGTGCACAGTTGAAGCAAAGTGAAGGCAAACAAGCTGCAACCTGATAACAGCAAATGGGAAATGTTTTGAAAATAAGCAGAGGAAAGCGCAAAGAAGAAATAAAGCGGGAACAATATCAGATTGTAAGTAAATCAAAATATTGAAAGCTTTCTATAAAGCTGAACAAAATGCTGCACTTCTCACAATAGTGATGATAAAATACTCAATCAAAAATCTAAATGCCAAATTGCATCACTTTGAGCAATTTCATTGGATCAAGACAAGCTATCGACGTCTAGTTTCATTCAAAAGAAAATTTAGAGTGTTAAAATTCCTCAACAATGGCATCTGGCATTGGTCAGAATTGCATGCTTATTTGGCATAATTGATTCGTTTGAAGAGCTACGATTTGAGTTTTGCTTGAAACATTGAGTGCAACGTGATCATTTTTCTTTTAATTGTTCTCTACAATCTCCGATAAGACAAATCGCATATTAAAAGCTGAAATCCATATAACTAATCACTTTAGAGCTATTATAGCCGATTGCACTCCCCTACACACACACACACAAGAGGTCAAACAAAGCTTTTAGAGCGCTCTCCATATGAAACGAATTGAACCTGAATGCGCTGAAGAGGCCGTCAGCCAGTGTTTGGCCATTCGAGCAGCTCTGAGTGGTGAGTGTCATGTGTGGCACTCGAGCGCAAAAACCCATCAAATAATAATTGAGCTGCAAAGTGTCCATCAATGGGGTGGCTAGCACTAAAATCGAGCTGACAGGAAACATAAATCAAAGAATTTTGCAAATTGCAGCGAAATTGGAATTTTCGAGTACAATTTTGGTGTCACACATATTTATTTTTATTCATTTTTAAAAGCAAAGCAAATGCTAAAAACTGACAAAACTGAAGATAGTTCTTTAAGCTAATAAATGTTACAGCCAAAGAGACTTGAAATATAGAAAACCACGGAACGAGCACGTAAGGACAAATTGCGTAAAGGACACGACAACTGCAGCAAAAGGAATTGAAGAACGGATGTATGTGTGCAGAGAGACAGAGAGAGAGAGGGAGCAAAGGAAAAAGAATGGAAAGCAAATTGGCATCCTGTCAGTTAATCTGATTCTTTGTGCAGAGAAGTCACACAGTTGCCATTTGGAGCCCACATCTAAATTGAAATTTAATAAGCACACGTCTCCGGGACATCAGAGGGTGTGCGGATGGCGGCTGAGGGGAGTGGGTGCATGGCAACTGCACTTATAATGGCAACGTAATATGGCTACGACAAACCAGTTGGGCAGCGTCAATTTGTAATGAGTTTAATGGCCCCAGAGAATAATGCAATAAACTACACAAAATTGCATTTTAATGGCTGCAAATGTTTTGTAATTGCAATTATGTCACACGGCCAGCCCTTTACATCCAGTTCCACATTGAAAATTATAAAATATACATGTGTATAATTCATGTTTAACGTTGCGTATTTTAATTTCACACAAT